CCAGTAGATTATTAGGTCTAGGAGAACATAAATTTTTGTCTTTTATTTTCACTCATTGCTGTATTTTTAGCAATCAGAGGAGTGACTGGCACATGGTGCATATTTATCTGACAATAAATACAGTGGGGCCTTGACTTACGAGTGTCCTGACTAACGAGTTTTTTGAGATACGAGCTGTCTCTCGGCCAAGTTTTTGCTTTGAGTTGTGAGCTAAAATTCGGGTTACGAGCCAGCTTCAGATACCCCACTGCTAGTTGGTGCAGTGAACGTCACAGTGAACGCCACAACATCAGCCCAGCATCACGTGTCTCACTCGTTCACTTTTTGATTTGACATATGAGTAATTTGAGTTACGAGCTCTGTCACAGAACGAATTAAACTCGTAAGTCAAGGCTCCACTGTATTTATTGTTAGGTAAATACGCTAGCCACTATTTTAAATCTATAATAATAAAATTGTAATATGCTAATTAGACCAGATGTCCTTCCGGACAACCTTCCAGACGAAGCTGGGGCAGGGAGAGAAGCTGGTGCCAGCAGCCGGGGGAAGGAAGGCCTGCTCTTGCATGATTTTTGTTCATCGGGCCTCTGGTAGATTTATATGTAGGAAAGCACCTAACTTCACAATAATCCAACGAGGTTCAACTTTATATGCACATTTTAACAATGAGGTAGATAAACCCCAACGTCACTCACTAGTAAGAGGTAAAGCTGGTATGTGAACCTTAAGCAGGATTTGAACCTGATGTCTACTGTCCCTGCTCTTAACCACTTTGCTATGCAAAAGAGACAGTACATCAAAGAACTGCCAATGTTCCCATGGCACCCCCTACGGGGCACCACTGAGGCACAGAGAAGGTCCTCTGTGTGCCACCTTGTTTGGATCTGAGCTACTGAGATTGATTGGGCAGGATCCTGACACCCTGGATTGTCTGCTTTACAGGAAACTCCTAGACAGAGTAAACATCCCAGGACCATCTTTATCTACACACCTTCTTTTCAAAGCACTTCAACCAACCAAACAATTTATTAGGCGTTTATGATGTGCTGGGAGCTGTGCTAAGAGCTGTGGGGGAGATGGAAGGATGAGATCAAGTTTGCGCTTTCAGATCCCACAGACTCTGTCTGAGGAGGAAGGGGCTCTGCACAGGGAAGGTCACTGAGGACACAGGTATTTGGGATGCGTTGTAGGAGCACTGAGGTGGAGCGGCCATGGCTACTCGGTGGCCGGTGAGGGTCTGAGACAGAGCTCGGAGTCACAGAGCTCCAAAGCGCCATAGATGCAAAAAGGCCTGCTCTACGTGACTCTACCAAGAACCCAATGGAATCTGCCTATTTTTTCCCTAGGTTTTGGGTAAGACTTAGAATTGGAAAAGTGGGGGAGAGCCTCAGGGGAAGGAGAAGGCTTTAGGATCGAGCAGCATGTGGTACCTGGCAGGGGATATTCCCTGATGGAGAAGTGGATTTCCTGGGTAGTAATAAGTGTGAGCTAATGTGTCTGCTAAGCTGCGCGCCTTTGAAAAGCAACTATTACGGATGTTTCCCCTCCTTATTACACACACGAATTTGCCCGCCAAAGTAACAAGTCCCGAAGGCTGACATCTGCTGGGAAACTGGATCCACTGGGCCATTTTCTGCTGGGAAGTTCATTGAGTTTGTCCTGTGCTGTGGGGAGGGCCTGGTAGCCCTGCCTGTCCTTGATTCCTTGTGTTTTCCTAAACAAAGGAGACCGCTCTGTTCGCCTCTCCATAATCAAGAAGCTTCCTCTGCCTCTGGCCCCAGGTCTGTACTTTGCTGGGCGCAGGACTCTAGAGGGGACTTCTCCCCTCCTGAGGCTTGGGCGCCCCGGCTGTGCAGAGAACAAGCTGGTAAGTGGCATGTTTTGGTCCGTGGAGTGGACCCACCAGTCATCGGGCTTCCATGATTGATGCGGATTCCCTGCTCTGGGTTATGTGAACTCAGGGGTGTTTTCAAGGGAAAATTTTGGTCATAGGCAAAGCCTAGCCAGATTTGAGATGTGTGAAAAACGCATCACAAAGGGAAACAGACTCAAAGTTTCACTACAAGGGAACCATTTCACCCTGTGTTTAAGGAGAGCGAGAAACACACAGACATGCACCTCTGTCTCTTGTCCCTGCTGGAGAGTGACAGCGTGTGTGAGCGAAAGCATGTGCTTGAGTATGTAGTGTGTGAGTATGCATTGTGTCTGGGCACGTGTATTAAAGAGAGGAGGGAGAGAGAGAGAGAGAGAGAGAGAGAGAAAGAGGCAGAGAAACATGCTCGGGGAAGTCAGGGATATTAATCATGCTAAGAGCAATCTGGCCCCATGGGAATTTATAAGGATCTTGACTAAAATCAATGGGAAGTTTTATGAGACAATTTTCTTCTTGCTGGCTCTGGGAATTGTTTGAACTCTCATCGAGCTTCAGGCAGTGCTGCCTCAGAGCCCCCTGGACCTCACACCTGTGCATGAGACAATGCGTATTTTCCACGTTAGCAGCTCACAGCTGACTCATCTCCAAGGACTGCTGCGGAGGGGGCCCCTGTCCTCCGGATAGCCTGCTCTCTACTCGGAGCAAAGCATCTCACCGAGGTCAGGAGGTGAGTGAGGAGGACAGGCGCAGAGGGGGTGGGTGGTCAGTGCCTTGGTGGTGTCCTGATAATGCTCACAAGCCTCAGGTAGCTTCAAGTGGTCCCACTGGTTTAGAATAGAGTCCAGATACTATGGCTGGCTCCCATCTACGTTTTCCTACTGTTTCCAACCAGAGCATCCTTCACTCCAGTCTAGAACAGGCTGTGCTTTCATGGTTCTGGGCTCCTGTTGATGTCATTCCCGCTGCCTGGAAGCCTGCTTCTTCCCCATCTCTCAGCCTGACACGGGTCTTCTCATTTACACAGGATTAAGCATGAGCAATTTCAAATTTCCATCCAGAAAAGTACACAAATTGCTTACCAGAACCTCAGATGCCCATCATCCAGCTTTAAGAGATGTTTTTTGCCAAGGCCTCATTTCTGTCCCCCTCCCCAGAGGTAAGCACCATGGTAAAGGCAGTATGCAATCATTCCCAATGCACTTTTACTATGTATCCACAAATAATATATCATATTTTACTAGAGGACTGGTATTGGGGATCAGGCCTAAACTGGCAGTCAGACATCCCTCTCATAATCCTGGATTGCTGGCTCCTAATAGCTCACCTGCATGCCTGCCTGGATGCCCCCAACTGCACCCCCCATCCGGCCTGATCACCCCTAACTGCCCCCCCCCCCCGGCCTGGTTGCACCACGCAGCTTGCACCACGCAGCTTGCTTGTTCAGTTGTTTGGTCATCCTTCACTAAGCCCCCTGCTGGCCTGGTCACCCTACATAGACTGCTTATTCAGTCATTTGGTCATTCCTCACTAACTCCCCTGCTGACCTAGTCATAGGCAGCCATCTTGTGAGGGCGTGGGGGTTAATTTGCATATTGCCTCTTTATTATATAGGATGTGGTTTTATATTGTGCATAATTGTATTAATCTGCCCACATCCTTCGGTGAACCATTTGCCAATACTTGGTGAGGAACATGCACCAGGAATTCCACTTGTAATTGTCATGGTAAGGAAAGATCTCACCTGTGGCAAAAGCATGTACAGAGATAATCAATCTAATAGAGCAAAAGTGGTAACAGCTTAATTGTCCCTAAGTAGGCAAAGAAAACTATGTGTGGTTTAATTAGGTGATATAGTATTTAGTAGTTCAAATAAATATAATATACATGCATATAAACATACTCTTAGATTTTAAAAAAAGTCCTGTTGCAGAACTGTCTGCTCATTATTCATGGCTAGGTTGAAAATGCAACCTTTCTCTTTATTGAAGTATTCTCTGAAAAATCCCATCCAATGAAATTAATTGAGCTTTCTCACCCCATAGAACTGTATTTATAACTCTATTTGTTTAAGGTTGACTTCTTCCCTTCACTCTCCATCGCATGGACATTGTGAACCACTTAAATGCAGAAATCGGGTCTTAGTCATCGGTGCAGCCCCAGAGTCCCAGCCTGAGAGCTTGCTCACCTCGGTACTCAGCACATAGTTGTGCAGAGAGGCAAATGCACATGGATGTGTTTCCAGATACTCTCACATATTTCATACTTTCTCATATCATGAGATCTTTATTTTCTCTGTGTTTCTGATGAGGAGACCGACTAGTACATTATATCAAATGACTTGCCCTTGGCCACTGAGAGCAATGACGGACGAGATTCCAGGTGCCATCTCTCTGGCACTAAACTGCCTTGCATTAGACATCAAGAAAGTGAGATGATTTAAATTTTATGTCACCTGCTTGATGTTTTGGGAAGAGATGGCAGAAAACTTTCTTGGAATCAGGAGAGCATATACAAGAGACCATTAGAAATAGAATATAATACAGAGCCCAGAGGGGGAGACTGATTTCATTTTAACTCAGCATAATTGAGTAAATAAATTTGAATATTTGTAATGTGCCGAGCAGTTGCTTAAGCTCACCCATGAAGAGCAAGTGGGGAAATCACTGAGGAAATGTCTAGTAGAGCATTGGCACAGAGTGGGTTTCAATAAAGGTCAGTTCCTTTTTCTTCTTGAAGGACAGAGTCAGGACTAGACCCCATATCTCCAGTATTCTTTCGGCCTGGTCAGGGTCAGCCAGAGGTCAAGCTGGACAGTGAATCTGTGGGAGATCATGCCTGTACGCCTCACTGGTAAAAACTGACACCACGAATATTTCTGACAGCTCTTTTGCTCCCTCACTTCAGCCCCCTTCTCATTTTATGCTCACATGGCCATTACTTTCTATTAGCATACTAATAAATGTTTATGAGATTATACTGTATAAACTATAAACTTTTACATATTATTCATTAACCTCGCACATTGGATTGGAGGCTCCTGAACATTTACTGACTTGTAAACCAGGAGAGTGGCGTAGAGGGAGCCATGTCGCTAAACAGGTCTTAACTCTGCTCTGCCTGCAGGAAGTGTGCCTCGTCATTCGGACAGCCTGGTACTTAAGGACAGCAGACCTGGCCTTGCCTCTTCCCACCTGGGATTTTTTCAACTGCTCAAAGGCCAGTTTCTTTGTTTGCAGAATGGGCATAATAAGAGTACCTATCGATGGGGTGCTTAGCACAAGGTAGTTACCCAATAAACATAAATTGAATAAAATGGAACCAATGCAGAACCAATGAGAGGAAATGGCAGGGAGTCAGAGAGTTCTATTTGTTAATGACGAAAAGACTGATGAAAGAGATTTCCAAGAATGGGCAGCCTGCATTCCAGTGTGGTAAGCAGTGTGTTCTCGCTAGAGATGTGCAAGGAGAAGCTGGACGAAGCAATTCTGCATGGGTGGGAGGGTGTACTACATACAGTTTCTTCTATTCTTATGACCCACGGATTCTAGGACTGATTTTTCAAGGCCAGAGAGACGGTGAACGGGGGAGTTCCAGTTTTAACTTAGGCACTGACGAGTTTTACAATTTAGTCTAGATTCAAGGCACTTACATTCTCTCTCTGTTCTTTTATCTGTAAAATTGCTACACAAATTCAATGTAGTGATTAGAAGAGAGTGACTAAGAAAGCACTTTTAATAAGGTTGATCTAAAATAATTTAGTTAGTCTCACCATCTTTGGTGTTCAAAGTTGAACAGGCCTGCATTCACCGGGAACGCTGCAAAAGCATCATGGGAAGAACCCAAATCTGGGGTTCAGAAACAGATGCAATTAAGTCATGTAATTGGGATTGAGTATTTCCACCCCTTGCATCCTAAGTAACTGATCTCAGGTATGTAGCACGAGGCTAATGAATCTGCTGTGCAAACATCACTGGGGTGTCCTGAGAATCAGATAAGAAAGTAGATGTGATTAGTGTGTTATAAACACAAAAGGGCCATGAAATGCAGGGTACACTTAGAACACCTCACTGTACTGTAAATCCATTATGTTCTCATTTCCTACCCCACCAGGCTATGAGACATTTAAGTACAAAGCTGTCTTTCCGATCTTTATATTTGGCCGTGCCCAGCAAAGTGAACCCATGGATTCCACACACGTTTATGAGGTGCCTGCTATGGGTCAGGCACATTGGTAAGTGTTGGAGTGAAAGAGGAAAAGGATATGGTCTCTGCCCTCGAGAAGCTTGCATTCTGATAGAGGACTGAACGACAGACATATCCAGAAATAAACGCAAAGGGAACTCTTTCTGAGATTTAGCTGTAAAGGGGGCATCCTGTTTGGGAACGTTGCCACCTTCCCGGCAAGGAAAGCTTTCTCTCCTCACTGCTGTCCTACAGTGAGCGTCTAAGTTGTTGATGGCCACCTTTCTTGAGAGCCAGGAAGTTGTTGGCTTTGGGTCTTTCCCTGCCCGTGGATACATTCCGATGGAGTGAACAATGGCAATTCATTCTTGGGGTCCACTCACATGGCCGGAGGCAAAGAATGGTGAAGTGATTTAAAGCTTATAGAAATGGTTAAGTCC